CTGGTGCAAATTACTGACCTCTGTCATCATTTTAAGTGGGGGAACTTGCACAATCGGTGGCTGACTAAATACTTTTTTGCCCCACTGTAGGTCTCTGCCACAGAATTAGTTTTTCCTGCGTCGGGAGCAGCGCTGGGCTCTCAAACTCACGGACAAACAGTACCCCACATTTTTAGTTCACAAACACTTGTTGTAATGACTAACTACTCCTGACATTTTGGAGATGTTAGCTCTTTATACAGTAAAGTTACAGTGGGATACAAATAACATCAGGCTGATCCTGCCATAATTTGTTCCCCTGGTTCAAATCACAGACAAACAGGATCCCACAGCTGTTTATGTTTTTGAAACCATTTTGCACAGAGAGGCATTTTTGAAAAATGTATTAATAGAAATGTTGAATATTATTACACAGGAAAAAACAACTACACGTAAAATAATCACACTGTGACGCCTCTGCTTTTGTAAATGGAGGGACAGTAACTGCGTGTGTGTATGTAAGCCTGTAAAACCTGCATATAGTCAGATTAACAATAACGGTATTTTGGCTCTATCTGCCATTGTAGAAATTCATCTCATGTAAACAATAAGATTGCTCTTGTAAAACAAAGGGGGGCTTAACCAAAAAAGTTTGGGAATCACTGGTAAATGTATGTAATTGTGCCCCTGCATAGGAGAACACAGCATGACTGCACATCCCTGTGGCTTATCTTTGTCAAGTAAATGAAGTGAATGCATGCTAGCTTTCTGTAAGCACTATGAATATACAGTGGCTTGCAAAAGTATTCGGCCCCCTTGAACTTTCCCACATTTTGTCTCATTACAGCCACAAACATGAATCAATGTTATTGGAATTCCACGTGAAAGACCAACACAAAGTGGTGCACACGTGAGAAGTGGAACGAAAATCAGATATGATTCCAAACATTTTTTACAAATAAATAACTGCAAAGTGGGGTGTGCGTAATTATTCAGCCCCCTTTGGTCTGAGTGCAGTCAGTTGCACATAGACGTTGCCTGGTGAGTGCTAATGACTAAATAGAGTGCACCTGTGTGTAATCTAATGTCAGTACAAATACAGCTGCTCTGTGACGGCCTCAGAGGTTGTCTAAGAGAATATTGGGAGCAACAACACCATGAAGTCCAAAGAACACACCAGACAGGTCAGGGAAATGGAAGGAGTATGGCACAACTGTAAACCTACCAAGACAAGGCCGTCCACCTAAACTCACAGGCCGAACAAGGAGAGCGCTGATCAGAAATGCAGCCAAGAGGCCCATGGTGACTCTGGACGAGCTGCAGAGATCTACAGCTCAGGTGGGGGAATCTGTCCATAGGACAACTATTAGTCGTGCACTGCACAAAGTTGGCCTTTATGGAAGAGTGGCAAGAAGAAAGCCATTGTGAACAGAAAACCATAAGAAGTCCCGTTTGCAGTTTGCCACAAGCCATGTGGGGACACAGCAAACATGTGGAAGAAGGTGCTCTGGTCAGATGAGACCAAAATGGAACTTTTTGGCCAAAATGCAAAACGCTATGTGTGGAGGAAAACTAACACTGCACATCACTCTGAACACACCATCCCCACTGTCAGATATGGTGGTGGCAGCATCATGCTCTGGGGGGCCTTCTCTTCAGCAGGGACAGGGAAGCTGGTCAGAGTTGATGGGAAGATGGATGGAGCCAAATACAGGGCAATCTTGGAAGAAAACCTCTTGGAGTCTGCAAAAGACTTGAGACTGGGGCGGAGGTTCAGCTTCCAGCAGGACAACGACCCTGAACATAAAGCCAGGGCAACAATGGAAAGGTTTAAAACAAAACATATCCATGTGTTAGAACGGCCCAGCCAAAGTCCAGATCTAAATCCAATCCAGAATCTGTGGCAAGATCTGAAAACTGCTGTTCACAAACGCTGTCCATCTAATCTGACTGAGCTGGAGCTGATTTGCAAAGAAGAATGGGCAAAGATTTCAGTCTGTAGATGTGCAAAGCTGGTAGAGACAGACCCTAAAAGACTGGCAGCTAGAACTGCAGCAAAGGGTGGTTCTACAAAGTATTGACTCAGGGGGCTGAATAATTACGCACACCCCACTTTGCAGTTATTTATTTGTAAAAAATGTTTGGAATCATGTATGATTTTCGTTCCACTTCTCACGTGTGCACCACTTTGTGTTGGTCTTTCACGTGGAATTCCAATAAAATTGATTCATGTTTGTGGCTGTAATGTGACAAAATGTGGGAAAGTTCAAGGGGGCCGAATACTATTGCAAGCAACTGTAGGTATGATCCAGCTAACTGTAGCTGAACTTTACTACTGTTTAGACTTAATCAGTTTTGCTTATTCCACTGCACTGTACTGAAACAACAAGCAAAAAAACCCAAACACAATGAATGTGGCATATGTAATTCTAAAATTTGTCAATTTACTACACAGCAAAATCTCCAGTACTGATTTTCAAACACTGGAATATTTCTAACATTTTGAGTTATGTTCCAGTGTTAGAAAATCAACACTGCTCAGTGTTAGTCATTGTTAATCTTCAAAACTGACTAGGTTACTTTTAAAAATATAACACTATCAAAAGTGTTCATTTAACACTCAGAGGAGTGGACTCATATAGACACTCTCTAGTGTCACTTTAAGAATAACAAAAATCACACAGCAAAATCTCCAGTTTTAAAGACTAAAATGGAGTGAAATCACCTGTTTAAAGCTGAGGTGTGTCAAATGATCATTTACCATATCGTCCATTTCTTCTGACAGTGGCACCCAAGATGGCTGAAATAATTTGGGTTGTATTATGCATCAGTTCAAAGCACTAATTAGTGTTTACTGGCTAATACAGTGCAGTGGGAAGCAAAGGATGTTACAAGGTGGCAGCCAGGGAAACACTCTGAAGGTCAACATGAATATGAAAATGGGCTCTTCCTGTGTGTTTTACTAGTTTACTAGTAATTAAGACACATTTTAAGAGTTGTACTACATGTTTAAATTGGGACATAAAGTCATTTTTATACATATGTGTATACATTTTCCTTATGAATTAAATTTTACTTTTTCAGGGTTTTACTCAGTCATATCTCCTCCACTGACGAAATCAGGTAGTTTTTTCTGAAAAATATTATTTCCTGACCCTGCCATGTGTCCAAAACGCCTGCAAACCTGTTGATGTCAATTTGTTTTGTGATACGGTGACCCCATTCAGTCCTTCTGAACTCAGTCGTTAATGGGTCTCTGTGTGTGTGTGTGTGTGTGTGTGTGTGTTGTTTTTTGTTCATTTAGCAAGACTATATCTGTATAAAAGGCCCCAAGTTCAAAGGATAATTCTATTTGAGTTCTTATACAGGTGTTTGTAAGTTTATATACTGTTCATTTAATGTTTAACCTTCTGTTAGTTTGAGCCAGCCCACCGTCAGGTGACGTCATCCAGTTAGTAAGGTGGCCAGTTTAGTGTCGGACGAGAGGTGGATTTGTCGATGGGATGTGATGTGTGCGTGAATAATAACAAACCACACACGCACACCCGTGTTTAGAGCCACAGGAACTGAGTCGTGAGAATAAAGTGCCTCAAACCAAACCTCAAGCTGTTTCTTCTGTACTCTGGGACAATTTGGCCTTCAGTGGTGTTCTGGCCGACACACCAGGGTGACCATAGTACTAAAGAAGGAATCAGTGCCATAATGCTGTGTATTTCTGATACCTCCACTACAATATCTGTTTTTGGCTTAGTTGAAGAGGATGGTGTGAGATTATAGCATATTCTTAGATTGCTATTGATATTACTGATTATGCTTTTGCACACTAGTAATTCTCTTCGCATCTATTTTCCAGTCATGGTTGTGAGTCTACTAGTCTCCTACATATAACAAACGAAGACCTGTAAAATCATTCTGTCTTTGTTAAAAGTAAACTGTGGTACTTACACAGATTAGGCCTAATGACCAGCTGCCAATTATGTTGTGTTGGTCCCCGTATTGCTGCCAAAACAGCAAACATCTGTGATGCACTGTGATTCTGACACCTTTCTATCAGAACCAGCATGAACTTTTTTCTGCAATGTGAGCTACTCTATGTTGTGTGTTGGATCAAAGCACACGGCCCAGCCACTGTTCCCCACATGCATCAATGAGCCTTGGCTGTCGCTGTCACTGGATCACCACTATTACTGTTACTGAGGTGTCAGTACTGGTAAACAGTCCCACAAGAGCTGCAGTTTTGGAGATGCTCATTGGAAAAAACTGACCTTTAAGTGTTTGAAGGGCGGAGCCCAAAGGAAGCGGGGTATTAATGTGATTGGTCACTTGATGGACCAGTGTACCTCAGTTTGTGGCAGCAACATTGAGCTCTGTTAGAAACTATATTTCTTTACATTTTGGAAAATGAAGTTAGCCAAATTAACTGTCAACACGTATTGTTTTCTGCGTAGCAGTGGAAATGCTGACAGCTGTTACTGGATTACTTTAATGGTAAACTAGAGGTTTTTCTTCGTTTGGGCACTGCTGTCCGAAAAGTCTAAATTCAGTTGATTGGTGCGTGCAGGATTCAGCTTCAAGAGCAGGGAGTTACTGCAGGAGTGTGCATCTGTTGCAGTGTTCACAAAGCAGACACTGTCGCATGCAACATGGCTTGTTTGCACACGTAGCTGTTGAGCTCTACACTTGTTGAATTAGCACACTGTGCTGTTGATTTCTTTCCCGTGTGGAACTTTTGACATTAATAGAATTTCATGCTCCCATGACAGATCTAAATTACTCACAAATGCATGCTTTTGTGAGTAATCCACACACAAATACAAAGTAATTCAAACACATGGAAAAATGTAGCCTTAATTCCATAATGCCCCAGTTTGAATTTGACCTGTGACCCTTTGCTGCATGTCTTTCCCCCTCCCTCCCTTTTCTGTCTATTCTTCACTCCTAAACTGTTAATAAATGAAAATAAATAAATATGATTTTAAAACTTACACAAATGATTGTATTTTTCAATCTTAGTTTCCAGTTCTGGATCATATAATAGAGATTTGTGAGCCTTTCAATGTAATAATGTATACTTTATTGATCCCCTTTATTGGGGAAATTCCTCTCTGCATTTAACCCATTCACTCAGTGAAGCAGTGGGCAGCTATTGGGCACCCGGGGAGCAGTGTGTAGGGACTGTTCCGTGGATTCGAACCATGGGGCCACCACTCTACCTACTGAGCTATCCCTGCCTTGAATTTTACCTGAAATGAGCTGGCTGGCATCCAGATCAGTGGAATCTGATGATTTGACTTCACAGTCCACCTTCAGCTCTGCCACCTGCTCTTCTAAAGATGTGCTTAAACCCCAGGGAGTAAACTGCAGACTGCTCTGTAATACACACAGAAAGAAATTCAAATTGTCAAAAAAATCATCAAAGACTGAACATTCATTCCAAAGCTGTGTGCTTCTATTTGTGTTCACATTTTATGTCACATTTTCTTCCCATACAGAAGCTACTCATCGCCGTGGTGTATATTAAATGTAACAGTGGCTTTGGGCTGCCACAGCAGTTTACTTTGCTAGTTTTACGCTGAACACCCTTCTTGATGCAACCCCCAAGCAACGTCCCCTCTAATGTTTCATGTGTGTGAGCGAACACACAAACTCCCTGAGCGTCCCTCGGACCACTGTGAGCAACAGCAGACATGTGCACTGTGGTCACGCCAGCATCCATCCAAGTTACATCGTTTATTAAAATAATCAAATTACAGCATTTCTGTTAGACTACTTTTAATTACCTGCTTTAGCCCACTTACAATGAAAATTTAAATAAATCTAGTTCATGACCTGTGCAGCATGTTAACACTATTGGAAGAAAAAATAACCTGAACTCCAAGTTTGAAAACACAACTTCTTCTTTTTTATTTTTTTATAAAGCTCTGACTTGTATTATGAGTCTGTGGTCTGGGAGAGAGTCTGTAACTCTGTCTGCAAATACAGTAAATAATGACCAATGTTGGGCAATTAATTATATAGTTACTTCTTCAAAAAAGTAACTGAGTTAATGAAACAACAAAGTTTTTTGCAGCTGTTTACCTAAAAATGCAGCCAAGGCGTTTTTAAATAAACATTTCAAACTATTTACAGAACAATCAGCTGTTCTGCATCAAATCTGATGCCACACAAATTATTTGTGCCGCTACAAAAAATAATTTCTGTCCACAATGAGATGAAGGAGAACAACAGCCTGATACCTGCAGGCCTGACAGCAGCAGATGTGTCACTGCTGTAACACCTGTAACACTCAGCAAGCGCCTCATTGTTCTGACACACAACACAACTATTGACCACACTACACACTAACTACACACTCACCACACACTAACTACACAAGATTTGTGCTAAACGTCTCAAATCTCTCAAAACACGCCGTCACTCCTAAAACTTCCCCCTTC